TCCCGGCTAGGCACTTTTATTGTGAATGCGAAATTCCCCCGCCCGTGTCCTTCTTACCGCACTCGCAGTGATTTCGACGGTTCCAGTGCCAGTGCTATTCACGATCAGGATGATGTCTCTACAGTCTTGCAGTTATGCTCCTCAGTTCCGTCTTCCTCGTATTCCTGCGTTGGTCTTTCCTAGCTCGGCCAATCGGGTTCTCGCTCGAAGACGGTTCCCTTTACCCTTATCTACATTGCTGGCCTTCGCCCGTCCTATTTTGCATTCCTCTTGAGGTGAATAATACTTTGTGTGCCCCCCACTCCTCCTCCCCCATCATCACATGTGCAGCCACAATTATCTCCCCGTTCCGACTGTACGATGCATGAGAATTAGCGCCCATTTTAAATGTAATGAAAGACAAAAACGGTGTCCCCACACAGACTTGCGCAAAACCTGTGGAGCGTTAGATAAATTTTCAGTCAACAAACTCAGTTCGCGTGTCTGGTCCGGCTGTGGTACCTGCCTTGCTGTCATATCCGCTCTTATTGCAGTTTTTTGTGGTTCGGAAGGGGATTATCATTATTTTACAGACGCTAAATCAGTGTCAGCAGGTGTTCTTTACAATTATTTGCACGATATGTTGCAGGTGTGCTTGTAAACGCAAATAGTATCTGTATAACCATAATGCGACGGAGTCGCTCTCCAGCTGCATATTCCAATTAAGAGGTCAAAATAATCAAGAAGTCATGCTTTAGGGAATTCTGGCCGCAATCGAATAGTTCTTCCGTCAAACACGAATTTTACCGTCGCCACCCCGAGAGACGAACGGTGACTTGTGCGAAAGTTCGATCATGTGGGACACTTGCACACTATCCGCATTCCCGCATCACCTCGTGTTCCAGTTGTGATGCAAGTTGAAGACGGCCGTTGGTAAGTTTGAACGCGGAGGCTGGTGTTGCAACAAGCCCATCAGCACCTCTAAAACGACTGGTTCGTGCTGAATTGATAAACTTTCTGTTTTGCCGAAATGAGCAAAGTGCATGTCCGGCTGGGGTACCGAATTTAAGTAACAGCCACTCGGATCCTTTCAGGAGGAGCATCGTCTTCGTTGAAGTCCGAAAAAGCCGTTTAGGGCTGCTGAGTAGACTTTCTGGTGTTTCAGTTGTACATCTGTATGAAGTTTAACAAGGTTGGCTGGCCGTATTTAAGAGTTTAGTCTGTCCCACCACTATACTGTTCGTGAACAGTGGAAGAAATTGGTTTTTTGAGGCATCTTCGCTGAATGGCTGTGGGCAAGGCTGCGCCCGCAGTGTGTACTATGCGAGTAATTTTGTGTTTTCTGCAACACGGATAACGCCAGTGCAGAAGTCTGCACTACTGCATACTAAACTAAAGACGGGGGAGGTGTTGGTCCCGCAGCCACACTTTACTGATACCATATGACTAGCTTCCTAAACAACTTTTGTAGTGGCGATTACACCAACTCTACATGTGTCGCGTCATACTATTTTAATGTAGCAAGTGACTGTGCCTGGGTGTGCGGATTCATTATACGCCATCCTCGTGTACATCAGGCATTAGTTCACAGGCGCATCCCTGCACGTGCTTCGTATCCTCCTTCCGCCCTCTTTTCTATCTCAATCCAGCGAGTGGCTAAATAGGCTTGCTAAAGATACTGTTCGAACGGATTGGAACTCCCTTGTTTCCGCCGTAGTGACCATGCACGGCTAATTAAGACACGATTCCTCCGTGGCCATCCAGTTCTAATTGCACTTGTCCACTTAATCCAGAGATTTGCTCTGTCTCGGGGAGAGTATGTACATGTCACCGGCTACACCAAGCATCGGTTCACATGTGCTTCGCACTCTGCTTGCGCTCTCTTCCCCTTCCTAATCCAACGAGTGGCCAAGATTAGTGTATAACTAAAATTGTTTTGTTTTGGGGCTACAGGACCGAACCTCACCAACCAAAATTCGGAGCAGTTTTCGAGGGATTTTCAGTGAACTCCGGTTGAAGTCATTGTAGGGTTATAGTGTTTGCCGAATACTAGGCCTGATTATGTCAAATTTCAGTCTTTAACCGTAAGAAGTCCACGGTCCTCCGCAATATCGAGTACATTTGCTGCACTCTGGCGATTTCGACGCTGAAGCAGTACAAGCCCGTTTGTCGAAAGCGCATAAGCGTCTAGTTTTTTCATCTGATACAACAAATGCCGCCGCTGCACTCAAATTAAAAGTGGTTTGTCCAGTTTCCGTATTTGGATAGGCATTGCGGTGAAATCTAATATATATATATATATATATATATATATATATATATATATATATATATAATGTTAGGGGGCGCTCACCGATCGTTCATACGGAACTCACTCGTTCCGTTGTGCCTTAAGGGCTCTCTCTCTCGGGCTTGGGTATGGCTGGCTGACGAGGGCTAATAAGCCAGAAATGGCCATTCCAGTCTCCCTTGTCTTTGTCGGTAATAGCATTCTGCCTATATATATATATCGATATGCGTAAAGATTCGAGGTCCAGACATTGTATCGCGTTCATCATCTCCCGAAGAAGACGAAGAAGAAGAGAGGGCGAATCCATGGACCATCTTGTATTCGAACTGACGTTTCGGAAACTTCCTCGTTTCCATCATCAGAGTAGCGCTACTCTGTATGATGGAAACGAGGAAGTTTCCGAAACGTCAGTTCGAATACAAGATGGTCCATGGATTCGCCCTCTCTTCTTCTTCGGGAGATGATGAACGCGATATATATATATATATATATATATATATATATATCCTTGCCGACATCGGCCGTTGGCTTTTGTTGGTTTGGGTCCAAGTATGGTTGCCTTCTAAATTCAGATAAAAGGCTCCCATGACCCTTAAGACTAACAGTGGACAGTCGAAGCACTTGAAGTCGGCACCGTGCTAGGGCCAATGTGCACAAAGGACGCCCACAGAAAATCCACTTCGACAAACTTTAGGAACTCGTTCAAGAGGACGATGTTATTACTATTGGAGAAGTTAGTTTATTTCGGAAATGGAGGCTGCTCTGTCAAATTCTGTCAGACCTTACAACGTTCCTAGACTGACGTTAAACGAAGAGTGACAAAAAGAGCAGATTAGGAAAAGTGACCGCTAGACTTATTGTCCTCGGTGGAAGCTGATCTTTAACGCGTTTTCATAACTACTGCATCTGACCTACCTCAGTAGATGTTGATCGAAATTCTATAATGTGTTTTCGATTCGAAAGAATTACTTGGGTGACTTGTAGTATTATTGTGCTATATACTACCGACAAATTTCAGTCCCACCAGGATGCCGACTGTAGAATGGCCTTCCAACCTCCTGCCGAAACTGCATTCAGTAGAAAGTGCCAGCTTAAGTACTGTGCATAAATCACTCACTAAGAATGATTTCTGAACTTTCAAATACTTTAGAAGAAGTGCATTTACATTCTTCATCATAAGTCCGTACAGTTACTGTAAGCCGCGTAAGTTTTGCGAGAGGACTTGGCATGCAGAACAAGGAAGTGAAGTTATAACTGATTCCTAAGGTGGTGAGTGGAAGGACGTCGACGCTTATCAGATGCGACGGGAATTTGTAGAGTTAGTACCGCAAGATGCGGAGCCAGACTTGAGGTGGGATAATTGAAGACCGTGAATGAATGCCCGTTGTGAGCGTAGGACGCAGTTGATCGATTGTCCTGTCGCAAGCGCTGATAGACGGAGGAGGTTTCATTCGGTTTGCTTTAATGACCGCGAAGGCATGTCGGTGGTACCGGGCAAAAAGAGAAACTAAAGATCGCAAGCTCCCTTTCAAGACTTTAAGAGTAATGACCCTATCTATTCTGAGCTGTCTATGGGAGACGGAGGAAAGGATCTGGTTCTTATTAGGGGGTAAGGATTTCAACCTGTTGACTTTGTTGTAGTTTCTGTGAAAGAGGATGATCTTTTTTATCTCAGGGCGTGAAAACGGAACGCGATGTTGGAACACCCATAAAACAAGTTTTGTGTAATGCGAGAATTCCCAGTCGTTGTCAACGCGAAGATTCCCTAATTACAAGTCAGGGAAGTAGGATTGGGTCAGACGAGCTCTGGTGATGCGAGAGAGCGTACAGAAGACTCAGCAAACGATCTCCACAGGCCGCCGGTGGTCAATCATCGAGCGGGTAGCGTTGATTACCATCGAGCCCTCGAGAGGCTAGTGGCAAGCCTCGCGCGGTCCCGACGGCCAACGTAAGACGGACGGAGGTGCAACGTGATGGAACTGTGGCGCTCAAGTAAGCGGGCCACATCGGTGCCCACAGCTAGACCGAAGGCGACGTGTTGTGACTTCAAGGCTGATATTCGTGTTTAAGAATAGGAATAATCAAGCTGTTAGGAAAGTGGACATGACGTCCATTGCGGATAATATGTTCAGGGGTACGGGAGAAGTGTGTGCTGCGTCTGGGGTGCTGGAGGTTGGTGGTGAAGTTGCTTGGCGGTAGAAGGCATGGACGAAGAGACGGCACAAATCTGTTAAATAGTGGATGTGGAGTTGAAGCATGTGGTAAGGGACCACAGGGTTTGTCCGGAGGGGTGTTAGGGACAGCAGCGTTGAGAACGTCCACGCTCATGACCTCGCAAGTTGGTTTTGGATGTGAAATGTCTTTCTCCTTTACGAGACAACCCGGAAGGGACACGTGCGTGGCTTCAGTGACTGGCAATTCCTATCACCGGAGATGAGCGTGAGGGCATATCGCCAAGTTTTCCTAGAGGGAAGACTCGGATACTGATGTCCTGGGCAGGGCCGGGGAAAGTGTTCGCATAAATCACCCAAGACGGTGCAAGACGATGGTAGGTGGGTTGGCGAAATAACCTCACCAGGGAGTCATATGGTATTGCTGAGTATCAGTTTAGTGGCGGAACAGGCAGTGTCAGAGTAGGGTCAAGCGGGCTCCCAACGCGACCAGTCCGTCCGGATCCCCCGATCTTACGCCGCTCGTAAGGAGATTTTCAGCCGGCGGTAAAGCCGATCGGTTAAACCGTTGGCAACCAGACAATAAGCTTTCGTGCGGATGCGTGTACAGCCTAAAAAGGGAATGAGGGGTGAGGTTAAAATTGGGCACCACGGTCAGTCGTGATGTAGAAGAAGCGCTGAAGTTCGCAATCTAACGACTGCGGAAGGCTTCGACCATCGTTGGAGTCTCGACATCGGGCAGAAGGGTACCTTCTGGCCACCGGATTAATCGATCCACACAGGTGAGGAGATAGGAAAAGCCGTTGGACAGAGCCACAGGGCATGCAATATGCAGGCGGATGTGACTGGACCTTGCATAGGGGCCAGAGAAGGTGTCCGTGGAAGCCTTGTGCCGTTGGACCTTGCTCTACTGACAGTCAAGATAGTCCGTGTCTAAGCTCTGAGCTCCTTCTGCATCCTAGACGAGACCAATCGATCGGAAACCAGTTTGTCCGTTATTCGATTCCCAGTGGGGAGGGATTGTGGAGGGAAGGAAACACATGGCAACGAAGGCGCGGCAGTACAAAGGGACGATGGGAGGCAGTGGTGACGTTGTGGATGATCGCGCCGTAGCCAGCACTTAGAGGCAGATCCAGGAGTGGCAGTTCGGAGCCATCCTTGTCATAGAGAGAACCAATGTTTCGCGCGTGCGCGCCTTTACTCTTTCTGAGTTGTGACCGCCTGTGGTCAATCAGCTACTGTGTAGGTTTCATTTGCTTTGTGCCATCGGGAGGCTAGTGATAAGCCTAGCGCTGTCCCATTGGCGAATCGACAGCGAGCGAATTGCGGACAGATGTGCGACTTGACCGCGTGGTGGCGACCAAGCCTGCGAATTTCGCAGATACCCCTTCAAATATCCTCTTATTTAAACTTTCAGATGTATCTCCTGTGTTTATTTCGTATATCTATGGCTTTATTTTCTGTCCTGATGCAGTACGGTGACGGTTATATTACGAACCTTCTCCACACACCGGTGTCCCTTTTCTCATTATCTGGTTCCATTTTACGACCTCGGTTGAATTAGCAGTGCGCACATCGCACTGAACAAAGTGGTCTTGATGTTGCAACCGGAATCTTCTCTGGTGAAGCATGTTTTGCTACAATACAATCTCAGACCCACGAAAGCATACCAATTGAATACATCTACTCCCCTCCAGAATAATAGTAATGATGACATAGGCCTCAACCATCTAATAGACAATATATCCAGCATTAAGACTGAATATAAAATAATTGCGAGTGACCTGAACCGCCCAGAAACAAACTGGGTCGAATTATTATCACCCACTAGTTACGATGAATTGTTATGTTCAATTATCTTTCATGATAGGACACTAATAGTTGGCAAACCCACTCGAGGAAACAACATAATAGACGTCATTTTCACCAACGATATCTGACCCCTCAATACGCACTACGACTGCGTAACCTCTGAAAGTGATCACAAAGCAATAATGTTAATTCCCTCCCACAACAGAAGACATGCACCCGATTTTAGTGAAACTGGCATAAACCCTAAAAACTTGGCAAGGATTGCATGAACAATTATATTAGGCCGTTAGACTGGAGTCCATATCTTCTAACATGCCCTGTGGAAGCAGGCAAATTCTTATACTCTGTCCTATTCATAACCCTAGATACCTTGATTGACAAAAGATACACGTATTATAAACCACTAATCCCAAACTTCCTTTCCAAAAAAAAACATAAAAAGAGCTAAACAAGCCCTCTGTAAGTTACTTATCCACACTCTATGAGCTTGGAGAAATTCAAGATCCAGTTACCAAAGTTGAAACACCAAGGATCATAGCAGCAGAACATAGGACACATGAATCCCCCGATAGAGCAAGCTCTAACTCTTTAGAAATAAATGAATAAGCACCGAAACTCTGGACCCCGAACTATTATAAATTAGTCAGGGGAAGTGGTAAAAACGACAAAGAGGTAGCCAATATATTCGACAAATATTTCTCAGCCTACTGTACGGACTAGGAAAGAGCGACACCTCAACCGACAGAGATGACAGAACGCACTCTAAGTGAGACCAGCTTTTAAGAAAAAAAACCGTAAAAGTAGCTATCAAGGAACTATCCAAGGCCAATTCCAACAGGAAGGACGAAATCCCGCCATGTATTCTGAAGCATATGACATATGCTGCAATACTTCTATCTAAGCTCTTTGCCCTTCTCCAGCCAAGTGCACTTTTTTTAGACGTTTGGCAATACTCGAACATTGCACCCATATTAAAAAGCGGTAACCGATATCATAGCCAACGCTATCGTGGTGTTCACCGAACACGGCAATAGCTAAAATCCTCGAGAAGATTGTTTACAACCAATTGCTAAATCATTCACCACTATAAACATGCATTTATACCTAAAAATTCATGTCGGTCCTGCCATCTCACCTTTCTAGAACTCGTCTCCGGCAATAGGAATGATGGAAACACCGTAGCCACAATGTACTTCAACCTAAAAAGGCCACAAAATACTACCAGTAAAGCTGAAAGGTCATGGAATCAGTCCACCCCTCCTCGATGATTTCAAATCTTACCTTCAAAACTGCTACCAAGTGGTACAGATTCAAACCGTGGTCTTAGAGCCATTCCATATTACCAGTGGAGTACTTCAAGGCACCATCCTAGGTCCCCTTCTATTTCTCATGTTTATTCGCGACTTATCGTCCACATTAGTTTCGGCTAAAACGTTTTCATATGCGGGCGATCTAAAACTCGCATATGCATATAACGGGCATACAGTAGCCAACATTTACAGAACTATGGAAACCGATCTAACAAACCTAAGCGAATGGATGGCCAATGACAAAATGTCATTCTTACTGTAAAATGCCATCTCCTGATGTTTGGCCCACAAAAACTTCCCCCGTTATTCTCAAGGATAATGAATCAATGGAAGCCAAATTAACAAAAGACTTAGGTCTGTGCTATACAAATACCCTTGACTTACCTCACCACTCTCAAAAAATATCGCCAAAAGCCACTCGTCTGGGCGGATTCATATGTAAAAATTTGATATTGACTGCACTAAAAATACGACTTTTCAAAATGTACGTTTAACCTCTCCTAGATTGCTGCTCAGTTTTCCTTGGCATAATGTCCTCAGATGGCCGAAAAAAAACTAGAAGGCAATCAAAGACGCCTTACTAGGTCTTCGTCCAAATGTGATGGCGCACAGGGTTCATAGTTAAAAATATAGCATAAATGGTCTTCGACCCCTCTGGACCAGAAGACTCCAAAGTGGTCTAAACGTTCTATCCGAGGTCACATATGACTATGATATTCTCAAAGTGAATCTATAGATTCATTTTGTTACTGTGCTAACGATCCAAATCGTCCCCGGAACACTAGAAATGGTGAAGATATTATAAGGATTCCCGATTTCAAAAAGTCCCAACGATCAAATTTCTGCTGCCTAGGATATGCAATTACCTGGAAATCTCTCGCAAGTTCTATTCGCAGAAGTCAAAACCTAATCGGATTTACAATAAAAACTACGAAAAGTCATTTGCATAACAGTACACATTTATTTTTGGATAAGAGGTCACATTTTTCAAATAAATTATTTCATATAGAAATTGGTCCGAAAGGGCTCTGATGTAGCCAGTCACTATAAAAACACTGGAGCATAACCCCAAATAACCAATTAAATTTAAGAAAGATAGCATTATTTATAAGTGCCGGACAAGTAGAGCTATCCTATCTTCTCCTTCTACATTTCCATCAGCTAACTAACCAAAGATTAGTTCAGTTCAGTTCAGTTTATTGAGGGAAATAGGCGTAAGCCTTTGAGTACCCTATTTGCACGTAAAAAATGTGTGGTGTACGGATAGATGATCTGGGCTGAAATAATTCGAACACGCCCATAATGGTGGGACAAAATGAGAAGGAGTTACAGGGGGTGAGCTCGACTTCTCATCGCTCTTGGTCATTTCGCAACATAAATATGTCCAGATTCTTCTTAAAACTTTGTATAGATGGTGACATCACAACATCTGCGGGAAGCTCATTCCACGGTTTGACCACCCGAACCGAGAAGGAGAACTTCCGCACATCCAGCCGTGCCTTCTGAATGCGCAGTTTTAACGGGTGACCTCGGAGGTTGGTCGTGGTAGCAAATTCAAAAAAGTCCTCGAAGGTCAGACTGCAATCCAAACCCTTTACAATGCGGAAGGCTTGCAAGAGATCTCCGCGAAGTTGCCTGTAACTCAAAGGAAAGAGGTTCAGATTTACTAGGCGGGTTGCATAAGGAAAGGAGCTTTGACCCCTAACCATCTTCGTGGCTCTCCTCTGGACTCTTTCGAGGCAGTTTTGATCCCCAACAGCCCACGGCCTCCAAGCTTGTATGCCGTACTCTAAATGCGGCCGGACGAATGTTCCGAATGTCTTAGAGAAAGCTTCTTCGTCAAAGTCCATAAACGCACGCTTGATGGCGTATAGTACGGACATTGCGGTTTTTGCCACCCTCGAACAGTGGACGGATGGTTTTAGGGAACTCGTCGTAAGCACACCGAGCTCCCTTTGGGCTTCGACCTCTTGTAGGGCTGCACCGCCCAGAAAGTAGCCTCTTGTGCTGGCGGACCTGGCTGTGCGGCCTAGGCGAAGTATGCTTCATTTGGCAACGTTGAACCGCAGGAGCCAACGGTTTGACCACTCCTCCAACCGATTCAGGTTCATCTGCAGTCTGTCTTCATCGGCAGGACCCCGAATTACACTCCATATCTTCATGTCATCCGCAAACATTGCTACTTCACAGTCTAAATCTCTTGCGGCATCGTCCACGTAGATAAGGTACAAAATGGGTCCCAGTACTGAACCCTGGGGGACACCACTATCGACCATAGCCGGATCTCATTTTCCCCGACCGACGCACACGACATGGTGTCGACCTACAAGGAAGTTTTCGATCCCTTTAAGGAAGGTGCCACCGATCCCTATTTTTTCAGCTTATGTAAGAGCCTTTGGTGTGGCACAGTGTCGAACGCCTTCTGGAAGTCGATGAAGGCTATGTGGACCGCGTGCCTGTCGTCGAGAGCTCGGGTCCAGCTCTGGAGAGATTGCAGCAGGTTTGTCGTGCAGGATCTTCCTTTTCGGAACCCATGTTTGCATTTCGATAGCAGGCCGTGAACTTCCAGGAATTGCATCAGTTCACTCTTTATGATCCTTTTCCATAACTTTGCAGAGAATACATGTCAAGCTTATGGGCCGGTAATTGGTCGTCGCTGCCCTGTTACCTCCTTTGTGTAGCGGAGTAATATGCGCCAGCTTCCAATCGACAGGAAGTGTTCCAGTGTCAAATGACGTTTGAAAGTGCATCGACAAAGACACAGAGAGCTCACTGGCAAGTTCCTTCAGAAGCTTGGGTGGAAGCTCGTCTGGTCCTGGCGACTTCGCTTCCTTCAATGCCTCTAATTCTCTTCGGACAATGCCTTCTGTGAAAAGTATATCACTGACGCTTGGAGTCGGCAGTTCTTCTGTGGAGGGAGGAAGGAACCTTGCCTCGTTTGTGTAGACTGATTGGAAAAACCGTGAAAAATGCGCAGCTTTATCCCTACTATCAGCGATCTCAACGCCATCAGTAGTCTTTATCAAGGGGATTTGATGCCTGTTCCTTGTACTTCGTCGGAGGTAGCTGTAGAGCAATTTTGGGTTCTGCGTTGCTTTTTGTAGCAAGTTCTTCTCGAATTCCCGCCGCGTCTGCATTATCAGCTTCCTCAGTTTGTTACTCTGTGTCTTGTGGGTGTTGAAGCATTCAGCTTGTCTAGTGACGCAGTATTTTCTCCACCCTTTGTGCTTTCTGATTATTTCTTTCTTAAGGTTGCTATTTAGCTACCCAGGGCGTTTGTTCAGTCTTACACTAGTCAGTGGGTAGTGGTTGTTGATGAGCTGCAGAAGGACATTCTTGAACAGCTCCCAGTCATCGTTGGCACTTCCCGTAAACAATGAGCCCCAGTCAAGACCGGATAAGTCCGCCCTCATCTGATTGAAGTCGCCCCGCCAAACATTACGTCTTTTTTGTTCTGGAGTATGTGAAATGGAGAATAACGAATAATCTCACATAAGCACTACGTGGTCACTTCGGCCAAGGGGCGGCATGGAGGCGATCTCGTCTATGCTGTCTGGTGTTTTCGTAAAGACCAGATCCAGGCAGTTTGCCCTTTGTCCTTCACGTGTTCTCGTTGGGAACATTACATGTTGTGTGAGGCACGCATTTAATGTTTTGCTCAACAGGCGGTAATCGAATGCCAATTTTAGACCTGACGCTTGGAGGGTATTCCAGTTTGTTCCTGGTGCGTTGAAGTCGCCTATGATCATGATGTTAGGTCGACTGGAAAATTTCTCCAACTGCTCCAATAGTTGAGTGTCGGCGATTCGGTCTGTCCTAGGTGGTCGGTAGACAGTGAGGACATCGAGACACAGGGAACCGGTAGCCTTGATGGTCAACCAGATAGCTTCCGTACTGCACGCAAACTTGGTGGTGTTATCCGACACTGCCAGACCGTCATTCACATACACAACGATACCACCACCCTGACGGTGTTCCCTGTCCCTCCGATAAATTTGGTATCCAGGCAAGGCTTCTTCGTTATCGCTTATATTCCCGGACAGCCAGGTCTCAGTTACTGCTAAAACATCTGGAGACAGCTCAACAAGTCAAAGTTTTAGTTCGTCTAGTTTCGATATGAGGCTTTGGGCATTCGTGTACAAGCACCTCAGTTAAGCACCAGCCGAATTTCCCGTTGCATTTGTTACTGCTGTGAGCATTGTTCCGTTATCGCGGACGTCGTGTTCTCTAGGCTCTTCCGTTACCTGATTGGTTCCATTTACATGTCTTGTTTCAGTCAGATCACTGGACGCTACGGGCTCCCTTGTGTTGGCGCCTTGATCAGGTGGTTCAACGAAGGTGTCTGCTTTAGCTGAGTAGCTGTCGTCGTTCGTAGTATTACAGGCTGGTTCCACTGAAACGGCATATATTTCCGAACTACCTTCCCCTTGAAGATAGCCAGATTGTGTTCGCCATCCTTCAGTCTTGATTTTAACTCCAAGACAAGTTCCCGGCGTTTCAACCGTTCCGTTGGTGAATAGTCCGGTTGAAAAAAACCTGTTTGTATGTGTTTCTGAAATCGGTTTTTTTTAGAGAGGACAAACCTGATTTGCTCTTTGTTCTCCAGCATAATTTCGAGAGGGCGAGGTGGTTGTGCTACTGTCCTGTCTTCACTCCTTTTTCCTATCCGGAATGCTTTCAGAACCTTTATTTCCATGACTGCCGGCAGTAAATGTTTAAGCAGACCATGAAAAGAAGCAAGGTCCTCTGAGACACGGTCTTCAGGTCTGACTGCATTCGATTCTGACAGACCCTGAATAACCAGACACTGCTGGCGAGCATGGTCCTCCTTACTCCCTCTTTCCGGTGAATGCGCTGCATGTGGGCGAGGACGATTTACGGAGTCATTGCTTGAATGCACACTTTTACTCTCTACCGACTGTCCCGAGCAACCCATCAGGGCTGGCGGTGACTTCAGGATCCTGTCATGGCGTTTCCCTCTCCCCTCTACCCACGGGTTTATGTCTTCGCATTCAGATACGTGATCTGTAGTGCGCTCGGGGTGGTTGCCAGAACAAGAGGGCAACAGTAGACTGGATGACCCAGGTATATCGTCTCCGGGCAGAAGAGAAATCCCATCAATTACAGCAAGAGGGTTAGGTGAGATGGCTTCCGCGATAGGTAATTTTTTTGCGACATCGCTTAAGACCTCGTGCGTGGGAATCGAGTCTCCCTTTATCGGCGGCTTCGTTTTCATTGGCCTGCTGTTACCGGCGTCTGTGGTTTTGGCTGTTGAGTTGCAAATCGTGTTTGAAGATTCCCCCGAGGGGATATTTTTTCGCGTTTTTTGCGTTTTACTCTTCGTTTTTGGGATTCTAACACTGGACACGTTCTGGCCGACTACGGTCTGTTTCACGAGCGTCCTTAAATCAGCAAGCTCCTTTTCCAGTTGTTCTACTTTAATTTGAATATCTGCGCACCCACCACAAGGCTCGTCTTCGTACCTCACACTTTTTGCGGTATTTACGCTTTTTGCACGCTTTGCTGGTCGTTGGCTGGAGGCGAAGGTAGAGCGAGCACAGGTTCTGGATGCGAAGGACAACTCACCGGACTTATCTTCCAAAGAGGTGCCGTCGCTGGCCGTACTACTACAGTTAGCTTGCTGAGAATCCATAAACTTCGACGTGATATAATAGGTATAATTTCGCTTTCGATGTTATAACGAATACGTCGGCTTATATATGATAAATTAAAGTGAGTATTCAAAACTCAATAAGCGAAAAAATACTTAAAATCCGATAAATTTTGTTAAATTTAATCAGAAGCGACTTAGCCCTTTCCAGATCTCGAGGGACTTGAATAACTGCAGACCTTGAAGGATTTTGAGCGATTGGTTTTCTAGGCTGTATATCCGCGAACCGGTTGCGCAGCCAGTTGCGTTGTCAGTTGTACCGTGCTGATAAACAAATTGCACTTAATCCAGGTTCCTGGCGAATTTCGATGCGTGAAAAAATATTCCAAAAATGCACAAAGTAACTCTGTACGCACGGTTCCAGTATCAATGTCAAAGACTGTAAGTGTGGAATGTTAACCAAGTCGAAATTGTCCCAGTTGGAGCGCAGAATAATTCCGTCGTGCTCAGTTCGGCTACGGTCAAACGTTATCAAAACGGTCAAAAGTGATCCCTTAAGGAGATTATATTAACATACATTTCCATAAAGCCCACATATTATTTATGCGTAAAGCTATATTGCGACCCCGTCAGACGTATGTACAACTATATTAGTTCATACTAAACAGTCGACCAGTACCCTAGTAGCAGACGATATCGGTCAATATACGCAAATGACGAATTTTTGAAGTAGGTATGCCTGCGCTTCACTGGTTGCACCGTAAATCAGTCAGTCAGTGTATATGAGGGAAATAGGCTTACGCCTCTTAACTCCCTATGTGTACATAAAAAATCGATAAAATAGGCAAAAATTTGAGGAAATTACAGCACTAGGTCAATGGAGACACTGATTCGCATAGGTCACTGGTCTCATGACCATAAAGTCACATAGTCCGCTTGCTGCGGCAGCATGTGTCTGTCATGCCGATATTTCAATGTCTCAACAGATTGAGACATAACAACCGTCCCGGGCAGGTTATTCCACGGGTCCACGACACGTTTGAAGAAGAAATATTTTCTCACATTCAGTCCTCCCTGGTGCACACGTTGCTTGAAGGGATATTCCCGGTGGTTAGTTGTAGTGGCGATTTGGAAAAAGTCGTCGAACCTAAGAGTACAGCCCAAGCCACGCACGATACGGAGAGTTTTCATCAAGTCTCCGCGCAACTGTCTATAACTCAGAGAATAGAGATTAAGGTTAGTTAGGCGGATCTCATATGGCAGTGCTCCTTGAACCCTTATTAGTTTTGCTGTTCGCCTCTGCACCCTTTCGAGCAGATTGTCATCCTGCTGCGTCCACGATCTCCAGGTCTGAATTGCATATTGAAGATGCAGCCTTACAAACGTTCCGAAGACTTTGGAGAAGCAGTCTTCATCGAAAACTGCGAATTCCCGCTCGATGGCGTATAGCATTAAAGTTGCAGCCTTGGCTGCCTTAAAAGATTGTCTAGAAGGTTTTAGGATGTCCGCAATCCAGACTCCAATATCTTTCTGCGTTTCTGTTTCTCGAAGTGACATTCCGTTCAGATAGTATTGCCGCGTACTAGGGGTCTGATTTCCGAGGCGCAGTATGGTGCATTTGTTCAAGTTGAAGGACAAGAGCCATCTGCGGGACCACTCGTCCAA